TTTTTCCTCCGGTAGGTAGGTCGATAAGCTCGACGCAAACCAACCAACCAACCAACCAGCTAGGAACAATACAACTTATCGAGCGACACACATACCTGGTTATTGGGTACGTCAGATAAGAGGCGAAAAGAACGAAAGGATCGCGAAGGAAAAACGCGGGGGCAAGAAAGAAGAGAAAACGGGGCGGCGATCGAGGTTGAGAATACGAAATACGGTTAATCACGGCACGAGACTAACACCGAGAGACCTTGTGTCACCTGCTAATTAAACAGCGGCACGATGTTTCGTTGATAACGAATGAAATGCGTCGGGCACGCGAATATCCGTGTATCGTGATCGAATTTCGCGAAATTAAGGAACTTGGCGGAGCTCGTACCACTGGGGAGAACCAATGTCCTAATTAACTGGCTAGTTCGTTTTCTTTTTTTTTTCTTTTTTTTCTTTTTTTTTTTGCCTTTAGTAGCGGCCTGATTAAACGGTTTGATAGGTTAAACGTTCCCATTTTACCATGACGAGATTTCAAGATTCGAGAAGCTCGTTCTGTTCCCGAGCGCTGCCGAAAATTGACCGTTTGATTAACGATCTGTTTCTCGACGAAACAGAACGGAATTATATCGCACGTGGTAAGAAGGAAATCGAATAATCGAAGATCCCCTCGGTGTGTTCGAGAACTCCGAACTCCGAACTCCGTCGTTCAAGATCCGTCGATCCAGAGATTTCAGTCACGTAAAGAACTAATTAAGAAACGTTATTCCAAGTCGGGTGGTCAATTTACCACGGGTGTTCTTTCTTTCCTGTTCCTTTTTTCTCTCCCCCTCCACCCACCCCGCTCAATTGCGGCACCGGTGAGAGTACGAGCCCCCGCGAAACTATCGGCGAGATAATACCAAAGTATTTCAAATAATGGTGAAATAAGAAGAGATCGTTTACACAGGTGTTTACCTCCCAGAGGGAAGGAACCGCAAGTCCTCCCTACACGGAAACTAATATTATACTTTGCGAAAATTCCGCGTCATCGATCCGTTCCGGCGAATACCAGGTCAAATTCCCGTTTTTCCGCGGCAATAATTTCGAACTTCCTAACCTATTTATGTATACACGTTACGAGAAAGAAAACATGCCTCGTTCCCGTGCGACACTTTTATGCGAAATAAAAATACGCTTCTTCCTCGGCTAATTCATTAGGAGGGAGAGTAATTCGGTACACTCTACCGAAAAATAACTATCAGAGTAAACGAAACCTGAGAAATCGAACCAAGAGAGCAATATCTTTATCTTTGTTTTATCCCTCAGTTTCTTTCTCAATTAGAAAACATACGAATTAGTCGTTTTGGCCATTTTGTTGATTCTCAACACACGGCAACGCAAATGAGTTTGAAATATCGCGTTATCGCGAAATTGACTTTAACTGAGGTTGATCGATGTCAATTATTTGGCGATTATCGGCTCAAGAATACGTCGTTCGTTCGTTCGTTCGTTCGTTCGCTCGCATTACGATGGAAAAGCTCCGCTAGATGAATCGATGTGTGATCGTGGACAGCTGCCTCCGCGGAATATTTTATCCATCTCGGCACATGGCCGCGATTGAAAATCGTCGAATCGAGCGATCGAATATTCCACGGGCAAATGACACAGTTGCCGGACGGTAAATTTCGCATTATTTGCAAATTGCTGCGCGACTGTACGATTGCGATTCGACGCGGCCATTATCGGCACACACGCGTTACTCCCTATTCTTGATTCGGAAAACCGGTTGCCGATTTCTGCGCACGCTCTGTCAAGCCCACGGAACACGCTGACGATCGCGACGGGTCCAGTTGCAGTTTTTCCAACGATCCGTGATCACGTTATGGCCAGCCAGGATTTATTGTAATTGCGCGTATAGGTGTCCCTTAGCGACGATTATTTCGCCGTTTTCAGCAGCGATCGTTAAAACGGAGCTGAAAGAACAGAAACCGTTTACGCCGCGTCTGCAACACGTTGCTGCGTCCTCTCTCTCCCTCTCTCTCTCTCTCTCTTATCGAGCACGTTGGCAAACATTTGTCCAACGGTGTTCTTATAGAAAATCGCCCGTTTGTTTAGCGCCTCGTAAAAGGGCTGGATTAATTGTAACACCGTGATTGCAGGACGTGATAACCGATTTAATTCTTTGTACCGAGTAGATTGGTTTCGGACAACGGGCGAGGAAAATGGCGTAGGGATGGAGAACGATTTTGTTTCGTTCCGAAAACCGTCGCCGTGTTGACGACGGAATTTCATGGATAGATAATTTCGGATAATGTCGATCTCCTTTTTTTCTCTCTCTCTCTCTAAGGAAAAGATTGACGTAGAAAGGAAAGAAAGCGAAATTAATTTTTCGGAAAGTTACATTGGAATTTCTTGTTGTAGAAATCTAATTTGAAATTCTGCCTGGATGAAGACTGCGAGACTGAAACGTTGTAGCCGTGTGTAGTATAAATTATCTAGGAGGATAATTATAATTATGCATCTTCTAATAATAAAACTTATGCAAGCCGATCGAATATATTATCGCTGATTCACGAACCTAAGCGACACGCGCAAGAGCAGAATCTATGGCGGGTGGGAATTAATGGTAATGACAGGATGAAGGAACAGCGGTATTCGAGAACAATGGAAACACGATGGAAATTTATTAACAGAGAAACATGATAAATCGAGGATTTCGTCGTCGATCGATTATTCTCGAATCGAATCGAATCGTTTCGCTCTTAATATTTATAATTTTATTTTTGTTCGAAGCTGTTTCGCAATCATCCGTCGAACAACGTACGCCGCAGTGTTCGGATAGCAGTGGATGGAAATTTGTTCAAACTTTTGCGAGGGAAAGGGAATGATGGAACAGAGAAGAAAAAAGAGTGGGAAAACGTTCTTTCGATCTGGATGGGTCTCGCCAAGATATTTCAATCGGACCGAAACGTCGCGGCACGGAAAAACCCAAGCGCCGTCGCAGTGCGTGAGAATTCGGATCGCTTAACTTCCTCCAAGTCATTATCACCAAATGATTCATTCCGTGGAACTCGCGGAAACTTTTAAGACGCTTCTCCGTGGATTTCGAAGATCTATGGACTTTTTAAAGTTTCATGCTGTAATCCATCTCTTAGCCGGGGCTAAGTACTGCCAATTGTTGGAAAGACTGGGGCGCATAGATTTCCGGTGCAGCCGAAATATCACCGAGTTGTTTCACTCGAACCCTGTTGATATAATTTTCAAATCACCACCAGATGCGCGTTCGTTTGTACTTTTGCAAGACATTGCTTCTATATCCAACAATTGATGATTTCGTTTTGATTAATCACGTACGGTCCGTTGCTTGCTTGCGACAAAGTGATTGTCGATTGGTCGGAACTCGTTAACAGTTACGCTCGATGTTAATAATCAAGGTCGTGGCGCATTTATCACGAGACGACGAGATTCGCCTGGTGACCGCAAATAGCGCAAAGTAGATTAGCATCGTTAGAATGGCTGGGCTACCGGGGCCAATGTCAGCGATAACGCATTGCGAGAATCGATCAGTCGTCGATTGCCAACGTATCCTAACTCGCTCGTTACTGGACGGTGACTCACACTGCGATTAAAATTGGCAAGCTAAGAACGTAATTCCAGTCGTTTCCAACTGGTTGTGCGCGGCGATTACACGCGGGGAAACTTTTATAGAGCCGAGGAGTCTCTCCTCCTTTGTTTTCGAACCTTTGTCCAAGCCGTAAATAAGCTGTTGCCGCTTTTTCGTTCGAAAGCTGGAAACAAAGGAAGAAATTAAAAACGCGTGAAGCGTCTAGTTAAAACGGCGAGCGAAATAATATCTCTGTAATTTAGTTTTCTTGTTATTTTTAAATATCCGAAGCGTACCCCGTAGGATAAAGAGGCACGCAATCTCGTAGAATCTGACTGACCCCTTTCTCCTCTCACAGAGCTCCTCAATTTTTAATCAACCGGACGAGAAAAATCGTCATTGTAAAAATAACGAATATTTATAATAGCAAAATTATAAAACGAAACGGCGGCGTGTCAATTCTCGCTGACGAAACGATCAAGAAGAAAGTGCATAAGAAATGATAATCGAAAACATGAAATATTGTTTTAACGTTCTATCGCAAAGAGTCGTCGAGTAATAGAGAGCGAGCTATCGATATAATCAATCAGTTTACCAACTGGATCTTATCATTGAGAAAAATAGTTTTTTTCCTTTTGTTATATTCGAAGACTTTTGATAGATTGTAAAGACTGTAAATTGTTTCGAGCGCGAATCAATCGGATTAGATTACAATCTGCGACTGGTTCTAAATTGAAACATCTGGCTGCTTCGTTGCTGATAAATTCGAATAAAATCGATAAATTCAAGCAAATTCGATGAAAACAGAATTTTTTGATAATTAAAATTTCAAGTCTGTATTTTCCGCGGGAGCGTGGAAATTAAAGTGTAACGTGACAGCAATTTGATGCTCTAAAAATTGAATGAAGTCAGTTTGGAAATTTCGATCGATAAACGAGGTTTATTCGCGAGGAGGGCCGGAGTTATTGCATTGATTTATTCATTATTCTAATTTGGTTAATAACAGAGAGGCAATCTAGTTTTGTCACTTGGAAATTTCGCGCAATTATTATCACTATCGCGAGACAGCATTAGTCAAAGTTGATAAACGATACTTATCATTATTTATGAGGGCTCGGAGTCTGTTATTAATGCCATTTAAATCCGAAACAATAAATCGTAGCGAGCCGTTCTAACAGAGGGTTGTGCATTTAATTTACGATTTAATATTTTGCATAACCTCTGAACGATAATGAGGAATTTACAAAATTTCGTGCGCGCTGTTTGCAAGTTTATAACGAAATCGGTACTACCATGTAACGGTAATACATGTACATGATATATACATATTTCTCTGCTGTGATACATTCAGTTTTCGGTACGTCGTGCTGTGAAAGTAATACAACGGGGAAATTAGTTGCAAACACACTGCAACGATCTAATTGAAAATGTCTGTTGTACTGAAGCAACGAACTAGCTCGAATGAGAAAGAAAACGCAGCCACGAATAATGCGAGAGAAAAAAAAAGAAAAGAAAAAAAATTCAGTCAGCTAATTGAAAAGTTAAAAATGTAAAAGTTGAAGAGATAATACGAACAGAAAATATCAAGTTGAGGGAAATTTGTAAGAACGGGAGCCAGGAAACTTAACAACTTGGAGAAAGGTTGGAAAAAAGCAATTGTACGAGACGAGGGAAAGTGTTGCAATGCACGGCGAGTCTTGGAACAGAGTGTAAGAGAAGAGTAGTAAAAGAGGAATGTTAAGAAGGAAATTAACGATCGGCAAATTCATATTTTTACGAATACGGATAGATGCAGAAAGAAACGAAACCTAAATGGAAAGTCGGCTTTAAGCTTTAAATATTCCGACGAATGTTTTCAACGAGGGATATTCTAATGGATCGCGTGGATGTTTTATATATTCCTCGCGTGTTGTATGCATTCTGTTTGCGCTTCTAAACTGCACGACTCGGTAACGAATGTGTTTCACTTTGGATATTACGCAAGATATTACGTTACGACCGGCGCGCGTTTTTGCATTTCTGAACCATTCTGAACAAAGACTTTTCAATTTATTCCGAAAATTGTTTCCGAAATTGTTACTTCAAATTCCCTCTATACAGTATGTATGAACGTGTATCGGTAGTCTATCGAAGATTGGAAAAGATCGGATACACCGCGGAATGCATATAATACAATCGAACGGACAGCAGGTCGATTCGAGGGGTCGATTATTCGAGGCAACGATACGGAACGGAATGGAACGGAACGCGAGAGAGCGCGTGGTGTAGAGAGAACGTCTCTGGAGACAATGCGATGGCAAGGACGACGATGTGGAAACGAAATCACCGTGAACTCGTTGCGAGAGCGTACGCGAGAGGAATTAACCAGAATCGTGACTCACTCGCCAATTGCCGCCGCGACGCGTTAACGAGAGTCTTCGCCGTGACACCATTGTCGGATGCCCGCGACTTCCGCCAGCGCGCCTCTCCATACTTACTAACGAGCAAAGGTCGCGGTGGTGTTCGCCTATCGTCGAAATCCTGCCGGATATCTCTCGCGGGAATAACCCCGGCGGCCTGCGCCGCGATATTTCCGAAATAACAAGCCCTCGCTCGAATTCTCGACTGGCAATTGACCGTAGTTGGAACCTAGTGCTGCTGCTTCGTCTACTTCGTCCGCCATTACCTCTCCGATCTTTTCGTTGGTTTTCCTCGCTCCACTTGCTCGTTAATCCCTTTCTTCCTTTCTCTCTCGATCGTGCAGAAGATCTTTCGAGTTTCTTTCTTTTCGCACCAAGAAGAAGAACGCTGTTGCCTATCATCACGAGTTGACAGACTATGCTTCGAGTAATCTAAGGGAACGCGTAATCTTGGTTTACTTTGTAAATGAATTATTAAAACTAGTACAGATGTAGCTTTTCTCGTTAGTTAATCATCCCGCTGAGTTCCCTGTTGTGCAAAATGGACGTTCGATCCTGATTCTCGTTTATTTTTTAGAACATCGTAGAATATATTCATCCACGACAGCGGAGATAATTGGAGGTATAAACGACGTTGGATTCGTTTCTTCTAATTGCTCGTTAATTCTATCAAGCTGTTCTTTCCCGTTCTATCATCTTTTATTCACAAGACTGAGAAACGTTCTTCTTCTTCTTCTTTTTTTTTAGAACACAGCGTGTGTATTAATCCGAACAGCAGTTTGGATCCTAGGATCATTAAAGTAATGGTGATGTAACGTGATGTCAGTCGCGACGAAGAACTTGTATGATCGTGTGTCGTTCCTCTTGGACGATTTCGTCTCTTTGAAAATCTCTCTCTCTCTCTCGTCTCTAGAGGAATACCGAAAACAAGAGACGTCGTTACTTCCGATTAAAAAAAAAAAAAGATGCGAAACGAGAACACGGTACAATTGCGAATGTAACGAGACGCAAGTCCGAGAGAGACTTAATTGCTAATTGTCTTTAATAGCAGTGCACACGGGCATGCACGTTTTGACGATGAAACGCACAATATAACTGACAGAATTGATCGCGATGACGCGGAGAAACGTGATTCCTTGATTATTATTTCGATAACAATTGTTTCGATAACGGGGCAATGCAAATTACGCT